TACTCACTGTTGATTGACAAAGAAATGACAACATATGTGTTTCCTGTACTGACAGTACTAGTGACCACTGCACAGTTAGCAGTAGTTCACAGGTAGACCTGGAAATTCTAATGTCCACATTAAATGTTACTGGAGTGTATGTTTCTTTGAAAATTCTTCTCATTAAACCTTTTAAAAGTGTTAATGCTATCAGAAGAAATCATTGCTCTTGTGAATGGATGAACTTACAGTTTTAAACTAGTTGAGTTTATATTCAGTTAATGAAACTGATGCTAAAATAAAAATTGTCTGTTTCCGAATTTGGTTTGGTTCAGCTTTCAGTTTTGTTGTACAGACTTTAGGGTTTGTGTTCCATAATGGTGACCTCTTGTGGTGTAAATATGTACGTGTTTCTGAAAGAGCTTTCTGTAATTCGTATTGGATAAAGTTGTATTTATATGTCATTTTTAATGAGCAGATAACTAGTAAAACAACTTACAGTCTTTTCTCATACTGAGTGCATACAAAGAAAGGAGCATTTTGAGGATTGTATTCTGATGGATTTTGTGTGTATCCGTACTGTGTCTTTTAGTGACCAGATAAAAAAGCCTAGCAGAAGTTCATCACGGCCAAGGAGTACAGGCTGGAAGAGAAGAGTAACAGGTACTTCAAGAATGTGAAATACACTCAAATAGAAATAATCTAATTTTTGTGATTTGAAGGTCTTTCTTCTTTATTCACTGAACAACATTTTTGGTTTTCTAGATATATTGGGGTTTTTTTACTGTTGTTGGTAAAGAAAAACAATATTCTAGAGACCTTCATTCTAAAGATCTGTTGATACTTTCTCACTTGTTTTTCCCATGTCAGTTTAAGAATTTGCTGATCCATTAACACCTTGCTTGCCCATCACTTTTTGTAAACTGACGTAGTTGCACAGAAACTAACCAAGTTATGCCAAGCTATATTAGCTGTCGATACGGATTCTGGATTGCCGTGTAGGGATGTATTTTGCAAATTTTACATAATAGATTTTAATTAATAATTTCTGATAGCTAGCACATTTCATACATGCATATTTGAGGGTCTGATATAGAAATCTGACGTTTCTACTGTGGTATTATTATGCTTTATTACTGTTTTTCTAGAGCTGAGAAGTTGCATTATTCTGGATGATTCTGACGAGGGCTGTAATGTGCTCTGCTTTCATTTCCTTCAGAGGACCTGGGAGTATTTATCATGTCATGGGAGTTAGTATTCTGTGGGGCTGTATTTTTTCTCTTTATAAGCCTTTTAATTTATTTGTGCTATTTTATTGGTGCTATTGAGAAAAATCACGTCTGATATCAGGATTGTTTCTTTTTGTATCTACTTTTTTTTCAAACATTATGTAGCATCCTTAGTTTGTGCATGCCTCATCTTTAATCCCAGAATAAACAGTGGGACAGCGGTAGGAATTCTCAATCATTTCTTCATTATAGGGGGGTCCTGAGGGGAGTGTTCATTTATAGATTATTTGTATTTTCTGATATAATTTGTGTTTCTACTTTCACATTTTAGACAGGAGGTAGACTGTTTTAGTATTGATATATTCATAGCCACTCAGTATTCTGTGAAAAGGCTAAACATGATAAGTCAGGCAGTATACAGCTTCTGAAAGCTCAGTGTTGCTAAGGCTCTTGTATTTACATGCTAAAAACAGCAACCAATAAATGTAGACTGATTAGTGGTTGGTTTTTTTTTTTTTGACCAGAATGCAAAGCTGTGTTTAAGACCTATGAAAAACTGAGACAACCAACTTCAACTTGCTGAATTTTTTTTGCTTGAGTATTTTTGCTATTGAATGGTGATTTGCTCAATTAGAAGGTTCAAGACAGCTTCTGCAATAATTTGAAATATAACTAGTGCCATAACTTTCCATCAGCATTTTAAAAATCTCCCAGGACTGAGACACATGCAAGTTTACAATTTTTAAATGTTGCGTTTCTTTATAATAATGTATTTCCTGTTCATTCCTATTGATAGGGTTAATATTATTTAGTAAAAGCTGATTATCCTTTTTTCCCCCTAGTTATAAGGGATATATGTTTTTTAAAAAAAACAACCCAAAACATTATGACTTAGTTTGCTATATTTTTCTGATGAATGTGAGACAACTGCAGCAGAGTGACACAAAAAAATAGTTCTTTTTGTTCTGAACTAGAAATTTAATGACTTTGTTAATATTTTTCCCAGTGAGAAGTTTGGACTTATCTGCAAATGCATGTGTGAACTATTCTATTTCTTGCTTCATAAAGTTAAGCATGTGTGTAGTTAGAAAGTCAGTCTCATCTTTCAGTTTGAGAGGTAGCTACAAACTGGAAAGAAAAGAAATAATCAAGTCAATGTGTGGTTTTTGTGGCAGGAAGGAACGGTGCGAACTACTCTGATGCTCTCATTTCAGCTGTGCTCTTACATTATCCGGAGCAGAACTTTCGCTGCATTGCAAATGCTGCATAGTGTTTTATTAATTAAGTTACTCATCGATCTAAGTAAGACTATTAAATCATTTGATCTAGAAAATAAAAAAGGTCTGCAAAATAAGTAATAATAATATTACCTTATAACTTGCATTTATACTAATATGTATATATGCACACACCAACAATATATAGTTACTGTAATTTACTTACCAGTGTATTACTTGTGAAACAGCAGCATTTTTATATAATCTGTTGAAATAGATGTAATTGATAGATTCCTTCTATGTAAAATATGGGTAGACAGTGAAAGTGAATACGGATACACAAGAAGAGACTGGGTTTTGGTTTGTCTGGTTTTTTTAAGGAGCAGACTTTTAAAGTAGTCAGAAAGCCTTTAATTGTTTCACTGTTCTAAGTAATGCTCAGTATATGGTCATTTTTTTAAGATCTAAGATACTGTTCTCATGATGCAAACCTCTTATTATCAGTGTTCTCATACAGTATTTTTTGTTTGATAATGATTATGTTAAGAATTTACAGTAATTTAAATGCAAGAGCTAGTAATGAACAGTAGGAGACACTTTCTGACAAATCTGTCACTTTCAAAAAGTATATATTCTAGTCTTAATGGCTTTCTTCATGTTATTTAGTGGGGTTGTGTGACTTTTCTT